CCGAGCAGCCCGCGAGGGGGCGCAGGCGTGGAGTCTGCTCCTCGTCCTGCTCCTCGTCCTGCTCCTCGTAGTCCCGCTTTCCTCACTCGCCCTCACACGGTGTGCCTCCCGGGTTTTTCCGGGCGGCAAGGCCAGGTGCCCTCACTCGGGGATGTCGAGGTGGAGATGGGTTCGCGTGGCCCCCAGCGCTGGCCTCGGGTTGTGTGTGTGGCGGGGGGGTGGGACAGGCCTCTTCGCTGGGGCCTAGACGGCCACGGGGCGGGGGGAGGCCCACACCTGCCCGAGAACCCCTGAGGCGAGGGGACGCAGCCTGGAAAATGACTTTGGTGGGCGCTACGTGGGTGGCTCTGCGATTCCACTCGCTCACGACGTTGAGCTTCGTGTCCACGGGACCCTGGAAGGCCACAGCTCTGCAAGTGGCCCTCAACTCGAGGGAGCTTGGAACACCTGGGCTCCAGGGGACCGCGCAGCCTCGTGAGTCCGCGCCCTGGCCGCTCGTGGCCCCTGGCGCCTTGCAGGCTCAGCCCTGCAGGACCCGGCCCTCAGACAGCGTTGAGCGCGTTGCAAAAAGTCGGCACAGCCCCGGGCTGCCTGTCTCGGCCTCCCTACCCCCCACCGCGGCCTCCAGGCTCGACTCTGCTGAACGCCTTTCTCTGACAACTGCTTCCTTTGGTCTCCCTGGCTACCGCGCTGCCGCCCCACTCTCTTCTCTGGCACCTGGGGAAACTGCTGGTCTGCGTCATTTGCTGGGGCCACGGCAAGTGGGTCGGGTTTAGTGCTCCAGAGAAGCATGCGTGGACCGGTTTCCTCCAGCCACCTCTTGGGGGGCTGGGCCCACGTGTGCCAGCGCAGACTCTACTGAGGAAGAGTTTTCACTTTCACGCTCTGGGTCTGTGTGAGTGTAGGGATATACTATGTTTGTTAGAAGAAAGAAGGCAAAACAAAACCTCAGAAATACAAGCTGGTGATTGTTTACCCGGTATGTAGGAAGGGGTGGACCGCTGATTCCTGATGCGCATTGGGGCTCTTAAGGACTGGAGTGTTCAGAATCCCCATTGATCATTTACCCTCCCTCTTAATAACTTGCCTGAGATTCACAGGGCATTTTCTGTATCATTTACCATGGCCCACCCACCGCGCAGTTCGCAGTTATCTAAATTTGAATCATTTGGCGCTGCATGCTGTGTATAGAAAGTTGACAACTGTAGAGGTAAGTCTGCCTTGTATAAAAACACTTGCCACCCCGCTCCAGAGATGGTTCTGCAGACAGCTTCCTGGCAGAGGCTCCCCAGCATGGAAGGGAGGCTGTGTCAGCCTGTGTAACAGACAAGAGTAAGAGAGCTGACGCATGCAGTTAATTATGGGGACATTTGGAGGTAGGAATGGCCCCGGAGTCCCTTCAGTACAGGCAACTACACTGCTGTCCCGTATAAGCGTTCAAGACGCAGAGAATGAGGGTAAAGTTGTACGATTGTGAGACCAAACTTTTTCACGAGGAGCTCTTGATAGTGACTGCCCTAGTAAATATTTGCATTAAGCACAGTCGACTCGTTTTTAAAAATATTTAAATGGGTTATAAACCCCAATTGTTTACCAAGGTAAAATGAGTTGAAGAAGAGGAGGAAAGAGTAGTACCCACTGACCTGTAGTGTATGTGCATGTGCCTCTATAAAGGAGACAGCCAGCACTGAGAAATAGTACTGCACACTCGTGGTTGGTGGGCCTTGGATCCCGCCTTGATGATTCCCTGGCTTTTATGTGCAGCAATAAAAGTTAGTTTGAACCAAAAACAACATCTTTAATGTTGGATTCAACCTGAGGACTGGTTTGGAGTAAGTTCTATATAGAGTTCCCTGTTTTGCAGTTGAGGCTCAAATATCAGCTCACAAAGTTACTAAGTAATGAATTGAGATCCTGGATATATTTGTTTTATCCCAGCCAGTTACATGTGTGCCCTGGCATGTCAAGAATCAAAATGTTATTAGTGATGGATGATGTGGTCTGTAGGCTGGTCCTGTTTTTCCATTGTGAACCCTAACTGTAGTGGTAGGAGTCTCCTGTTGCTGTAGACGTCACTGTAGGTCTTCTGAGCATTAGTGCCTGGAAGGAATGTGCTGTGTCTACCATTCCATGATGTGTGTCAGAGCAGTTAGTCCTCAGCCAGAGATCTAGAGGAAGGCTCCTCCCACTGTGGGAGTGAACCTCCCAACCTTCTATAAAAAAGACTTTAATTTTCAACATAGATAAAATTTCAGTAATTTTTCATCAGACAAGGCAGACTTGAAATTATAATTGGTTTTTAATTTTTATTGTATTTTTAGTAAGTGTGTGTGGAGTTGTGTTCACATGTGGGAAAATCAGAAAACGACTTTCAGAAGTCAGTTCTGCCCTTTCAGTACAGAGTCCTAGGGCTCAGACGCAAGTGTTTTTACCTGCTGCGACATCTTGCCAGTCCTGAAATTTTATATAATTGACTGATAAAAGTAGAGTGATTAGTTTCACCTTTCCTGTCTTAACTAAAACTTCTCTAGTGGTGCCTCTTAGATTTTCAAGAAGTTAGTAAGACAAAATTTTGTGCCTTTTTCTCTCCTCTCTTTCCCTCCCTCATCCCCCCTCCCTTCACTCTCTCTGCTCTTTTTCTCCTTTCTGTTCCCTCTCTGCAGGATCTCCTTATGTGACTTTGCCTGACTTTGAACTCTCAGTCCTCCTAAGGCAGCCTCCTCCTGAGTAATAAAGCTGAGTTTGCATGGGCTGGGTTTTATTCTGTTGGTGGTAGTGGGTTTGGTGTTGTTTGATTTTTATTTGTGTGTGTGCACACGTGCACAGACAGCTAACTGTAAAATTGTAAGTGATAGTCTCCCAGGACATAAAAGAACCCTGACCTAGAAATGAGGGGCTGGGTCTTTAATTGTGGGCAAGGCTTAGTCTTTTTGTTTCTTTGTTTTCGAGACAGGGTTTCTCTATGTAGCTTTGGCTGTCTTGGAACTCGTTCTGTAGATCAGCCTGACCTCGAACTCACAGTGATCTGCCTGCCTCTGTCTCCCAAGTGCTGGGATTAAAGGCGTGTACCACCACCCCAGACTTAGAATCTTTTTTTTTTAATTTTTATTACACTATACATTTTTCTACCCTCCCCTCTCTCCTTCTACCTTCTCCCATGATCCCATGCATTCCAATTTACTCAGGAGATCTTGTCTTTTTCCTATTTAGATCCATGTATATCTCTCTTAGAGTCCTCTTTGTTGTCTAGGTTCTCTAGAATTGTGGATTGTAGGCTGGTTTTTCTTTGCTTTATGTCTAAAAGCCACTTATGAGTGAGTACATACTATATTTGTCTTTCTAGCCTACTTCACTCAATAAGATTTTTTTCTAGATCCATTTAAGGTTTAGACTCTTAATATTTGCATTCTATCTAGTCATGCTAGTAGGGGTTGAAAGGATCTAGAAGGAATATTTATTGCTGTATCTTGACCTTAAGGCTTTAAAGCATGAGTGAGTATATTCAAAGCCTTTGGCAATTGGCCTTTTACATGAGAAGACATGCTCTAATACAAACAAGGCAGCTTTCTTACCTATGCCTGGAAGGTTTTAGTAAAGATAGAAACCTCAAGATATTGCCTAGCTTTAGCCTCTCTAGCATCCTTTATCAGCCAAGAAATCAAGTCTAAGTTCAGTATTGGCAGATTGGGAAATAGCAGTAGGTGAGTCTGGGGCACCTACACGAAGTTTTCTTTGCTAGTGTCTATTTAAGTGCTTAAGTGTTGTGTGTGTAAGCCTCATTCACTGGAATGAGGTCCCTTGGGTAATTGACCTAAAATTATATCCATTTAAAGAGCAAATTAGTGAATTTGTAATTCTTGTTAAAGTTGGGTGGGAATGCATAACCAACACTGGTATTAATGTTTAGATTCCTGTCTTCAGTAGCTAGTGGTGGAGGCAATAAAAGACTCAGGATCAAGTAACAAATTATTTTTCTGCTTTGGAAGAACTGTACTAATCTTGTCTCTAAATCTACTTTTCCTAATCTAAACTGAACTGACTCTGTAGAATTTGCCCTAAAGCTACTGGGATAAATGAGAAATGGGGTTTGACATAGACTTTGGGGTGATGCAGTTATATAAATAATTGGGCTTTTATCTATTGTTGATTTAAAACCAAGAAGTACTGATTGTACCCTTTCAATGTTCATTAAACCCTTGGTTGCTA